CGGACTTTCGGTGACGGGTCTCACAATGCCGAGCCAGCATCAGCATGACACGGTAGAGTGGGCGAGGTTCACCAACGTACGAGTAACTTCAATCACTAACTTCTGCCGTGCTTACGGCATCGTCAACGATATCTTTCGGGGAACGTATCCCTCAGACTCTCGTGGAGGGATATGACCATCCCTCTCACGTGGTACTCTCTCCTCTGGGGTGGCTCAACCCCAGACAAGGCACAGATTACCTGCGAATCCTTCTCACTCCGCAGGGCGCCGAACTGCTCGAGGCACATGCGACGTAGGTATCCGGAGACCTTTCTCACCCACTTAACGTCCACCCCAACTCGAGAGCTCGGTAATAGCAATCTCATCGCGAGTCAAAACTAGAGTTACTTCCCATGGAGGCGCGTGTGACCGGACCGACGGGAAACGCCTTGAATCCCAGCCCTTAGTCCACCCCAACACCATGGAATTCGCCCTAGAGATGGATCTCTGTAGCCTCGGACTCTCGTCCGTAGCCTCAAAGTAATCGATTGCACTGATCGGGGACACATCGGTGTCCCCTTCTCTCGCTATTCCAAGATTCCTTGGAACCACGTACCCTTCATAATCCCGGCAGGGATTATTGCCACCAACTGATCCCGAGCTCCTAAAACATCCGCTCGAAACCAGCACTCAACGCGAACTGTCCTGAAATCTACCAGGGCCTTCTCCCCCTAGTCTAAGCATCTCAGCGACTGTGGGTCATCCGTTACCCCACAGCCACCAATCAACTCGACGGGATCCCGGGGGCGCTAGTCCTTTCACCTAGCCGTTGGTCCCTGGTCTAAATCGACGGCGCCCTTCGGAATCACCCAGTTGGAACGCCTGTACGTCGGCCCTGAACTCCCTAACACAGCTGGGTGGATTTCCGAATTGGGAAACAGCAATCGTCAGCGCCATCACAGTGTTCCGAAACATGGTCTCACCCTACCACGTTTCTTCCCACTGTGTGATTGGTCTAATTTACCTTCGGAGCGGCCTGATTGGCCGTCGTCCGATGGCCTATTCATCTTTCGCTCGGCTATTTCAGCCGGCGTTAGATGTCGCTCCCCTTACCTAGTGACTATCCTAGTGATAATCACTAGTAACGAGAAAATCTCGTTACAAATTATAATCAGTCATTAAAACAACTATTCGATCATCAAATCAGATTGTAGATAAAACAGGAATTGATATTTTCTACTAAAAACAAGCGTGTCTAAGAGTACAATAAAAAATGAAAGATTTGGCAATTGAGAGAGAGAATGCCTGAAAAGACACCAACGAATGCTGAAAGCAACCGAAAGGGTTACCGGCAAAATACAAAAACTCGAGCGTCAATAAACGCTACAAATCCAATTTCAATCCTTTACAATTCGAAATATTACTAGTTAATATATGTGACTTTACAGGCCACAATAAATATTAGGTTGGGATCTTGAGGGAACAACACATCAATGACCTCGAAATTCCAACGTCGCTGATACAAAGAAAATCGATATTTCACGCGACAATAACCAGCACATTAAATAATATGAAATACATGAAAAATTACGGCAAATATAATTCCAGAATAGGAGACAAGAGTCATTATGGTGTTAAATTAACACCACGGATCTTTCCAAAATTATGAAAAACTTGCAATTTTACAGCGAGTTATCAAATTACATTTCACTAATTTCTCTAATACTCAGCCGAACAAAATTAATCGAATCTAGAGTTGTGAATTCTCATACAAAATAAAATGGTCTCAAACGTCAATAAATCCCAATAATCTCAAAATTTTTATCAAAATCTAATAATAAAAAAAAATAAAATAAACAATTTATCCATCGCTCACCAAATCTTCAGCTCACTCAGATATGGGAAAGAAAACGATAAAGTTGTCTCCTATAAACTTTGAAATAATCAGCGGCATGATATAACGAAACTCTGCTGTGTACGTCCAGACGTCCAGATGAGAAGTGTCATTAAATGGAGGAACAACGACGGTCAACATGTGACGAAGCCGTTTCATGTTCTGATTGGGTCGTCACCAACACGTGAATTTTGCTGATTGGCTGCCATTTAATACAGCCAAACAATTAACAGTTTAACCGGGGTCCAGCCAACTCATAATTATCAGCGTTTGTCATTGGGACTCCTAGAACCATTGTAATTAATCCATAAATTATTAAACTCTCGGTGCATCTTTCCTTGGTTGATTTAGCCCAATAATTTCATCAACCAAAATTCGCATAATCACTGATTTGGAGCCAAATAAAATTTGAGCTCCGGACACTGACGCTATCTCTCAGTCTATTCCAGGAACTTCCAAATTGTAGCGGAACTTCCAAAATCTTCTCAAAATCCTTTTAGTTCGGAGATTCCATGAAGAGTCAAGATGAGTGGCAAATAGGGCTCGATTCTATTCAAAAATAAAAACAAAAAATTTAGAATCATACAAAACAAAATACATATAACAGACTCTTGCCTCGCCAATAGTTTCACTTCCCATCTGGACATCTCAAAATCCAACGAACGGTCGAAATCAAAATACTACATTACAGTATCTATCAGTAAAAAGGCACGCAAGATCCGCCAGTTAGGAGACGATCTGAAGTCCAGTTACGTCTGTTCCAAACAGTTTCAAAACAGTTTCAAACAGTTAAACAATTCCAAACAGTACTGGATCACCTCAACCTCGCCGTTTGCGTGATGCCCAGAGGGATGGCTAAAGTGGCTAAAGTTGCGCTTTCTGTTTCGTTACTGATAGATCTTCTTAATACGGTTCAACCTGAGGCCGCCCCAAAAACTTCACATCTCCATGGCATGTCTAAATTAGTTGAACTGGTGGTCGTAGGTACTCCACCTTAACACTCATCTCGACAACCATCAGTTAAATTTTATCCCCCGAACAATTAGCATTTCAACAAACAGGAACTACTTGCAATCTTCTCAGCTTTGCGCTGGGTAGGGCCCAGTTCCAGGGCTCACCGAGGACTCTTTTTGCAGACGAATAATAGCTGCGTACATCAGGAAAGAGGACGAACAGCGTCCTGCAATTCACTCGGGTTAACCAATAACCTTCTTCAATTTGTAAACAATTTTCAAATCACCTTGTCCACATCGTATCTTCGCGAAAGATATAATGAGATTGTGGACAGCCTCTACAGAGAGCAGCCACTTCCAGAATGGTACCTTCTTCAAGAGGTCACTGGATCAGCCAACAGAGCTGTTGTACCACCAATTAAAAATTCTACCCACAGGGCTCCCTCCACAACAGGTGGAAAGAATTTGTTTTCAGGTGTGGGAGACTGGGGCTGGATCTCATTAACTAACAACTGGTTCTCTCCAGAAAGACAATTACTGTCTATCAGCTCGCGTCAATCCACACGTACCCTGCTTCGATTCACAGATGGTTAAAATGGTGCAACAATGCGAACATAGACCCCAACTCACCTAAGGGTCCTCAGTTAGCCAGATTTTCAGCTGCTCTTTCCATCAAAGGAAAGTTGGCTTATAATAGTATGTTGTTATATGGTTTGGCAGTATCTACATTTTGCCATGGCCAATCATTTGAGGATTTATCTTCACATTTTGTGGTATGACAGATTTTAAAGGCCATCGGCACCAACAGACCTCCAACGATTAAGTGTCCTATCCAGGATGCCAAGATTGTGATGGATTGGTTACCTCGCGGAACGCCAGACCCGACCTTGTTTGAGCTCTCAAGATGCACAGCAATACTGCTTTGTTTAGCATCAGGTCAGAGGGTCCACGAGTTGACTTTCTTGTCATTCGCCAAGGAAGCGTTCATCAACGTGGGTGAGGACATGATTTTTTGGCCATGATTTGGATCTATGACAGATCGGTCCACAATCAGGTTCGTGACCCTTAAAAAGCATCGCAAGCTCTGGTTTTGCCTAGTAACCATGATCAGGGTCATGGTGAAGTGCTCGCAACATCGACTCTCTCCATCTCCCTGAACTGCAGCCCGTAACAAAGTCCATGATTGGCGGATGGGTTCGCTGAGTTCTTAAAGACGTAGGGATAGACCCCCTCGTGGGAAGTATTCGTTCAGCAGTCGCGTCTGGAACCTGGTGAGATAATTTACCTCTGGAAGATATTCTTGCCCGCGGCAATGAAAAATGCGCAGATACGTTTAGAAAACGCTATTGCAGGAGGATAGACTCACGATGTAGGCAGAACTAGTCTGTTATCAAAGAATTTAATTTCTATTTACAAAATGGACGTAGGTGTACTTTTTTAGCCGAACATTGAGCTATATGAAGTTTATAAATGCTGATGTAATACTTGATAAATTCAAATATCTTTTCCAATCATTGCGTTGAGTGGTTATCAACCGAAATCGAATATGATGCTCATCTAAAGATGCAGTGTATCGGCTTCCGTATATAATCCGTGTTTTGTTCGAGTGCAAAACACCAGCATTACCTTCTTTTCGATTTTTTCTGTTTTCATTGTGAAAATTGTGAAATTGTGCTGTGTGGCAGGAACTGACTACTTGGCAGCAAATTATGGACCAAAGTTGGAGGAAAAATGGCCTTCCTGGTGGTCTAATTTGTAAGCTATCGTAGGTCACTGATTTTTGGCCACCATTTTTCAGCCTCATTGGAGCCCCAAACCTACATGTTTTCCTTTTGTGTGTTCTCCACCAACTAAGCCCCCGAAAAATACGAAAATTCCATGTCTGTAATTCGCCTTCAAACTATCTCATACACATTTATTCATTAAAGTAGAATGAAAGACAATATTTGGAGAAAAAAACATCCTACAGGGCTCAGCTGAATGCAGTTGAGCTCCTCATTATCCAGCGAAAGGAGTAACCGATATTTTTAAATTAACCGATTGGACAAATTTGAATTTTTGAAACATAAGGAAATTTATTAAAAAATGTTTTTTTGTCGAAATGATATTCTTTTTACTTTAACAAGCTGATTATATATCACAAAATTTCAATAATATATCATTTCTATTTATAGTCAGCGTGGACTGCAAGGATACACGGATAGCTGTTCAAGTACGAACAAATAAACCTTTCAATGGTCGTATCTATGCCCTAGGGCGTTCTGAGACTTGTAACATCGACGTAAGCAATAGCGATCTCTTCCGTCTTGATCTTACAATGAGCGGACAGGACTGTAATACGCAGAGTGTGGTAAGTGTTAGCAATTATGGACATTTTTTTACTACCCTATGCGTCGCGTCCAGAAAGCAATGAAAAGCATATTACCTTTCCCCACTTACTTGCCATCCTCGCCGTCGGATTAGATATCAATCTTAACATATGGAGAGTTTCACGGTTTCATGAAAAATTTCATGAAACCGTTGTTGTAGAACTCATCCCGTCTTACAAAAAGGTTCTATGAAAGATTGCACTTCGTAGTATGAAAACGTCGAAATAATGCTAGGAATTTTACATAGACTCAACTTTTTGGGGTACATATTCAATGGCTTTCAATAGACTATCAGCTCCTTGTAATAAAACTACAATATTAATTTCTTTCGAGTGAATTGTTCCGAATATAAAAACTGATTTTTTAATAAGTAAAAGGACGATATTATTTTCAAAAAATTATAAGTCGGTCAAATGTTTTTTTTTCGCTGAAAATTTAGCTCAGTCTTATCTTATCATACACCGCAGATAAAAAAATAGCGCACGAAATCGGAGACATTATTTTTTTTCGACTGGTCATTTTGGGAGAAATTACCCTCATATGAATGACCATGCTGGTGCACTTACGCGCCCCAATCGAGCGTCCTTATGGCCGATATTTTGTTTATTCTGTCGAAATTTAGCGTCATATTGAACGGTCAATTCTGTCACCGAAAACTTTCGGATAATAGTAACCTCACATTGAAGGATTCATGATAATGAGAAGGTGGAAAATTCAGGGAAAGTCAGAGAAATTCAGTCTGATCTTTTTATTTGAGATGCAAGCTGGCTGCGTCGTCAATTTATTGGTTGGTTGGACTGCTGTTCAGCTGCACTTCCCAGTCCGGGCCAACTTTTCCAAAAGAATTAATCAATTCCCCAAATCGAAAAATGAAAGAAAAGCAATTCGCGATAAGTGATCAGATTAGCGGTGTCCTCAAAACTGCCCTGTGCCCGAAATTGATGCCGATTTTTATACCATTCTTGACTCAGTCAGTATCATAATTATCATTATCACACGGAGAGAAAAATCTATGAATTTTTATATTATCATTTCGATAAAAATTACTGTGCTGCCTCGCAATCTAGGTGTAAACTGCAGGCCTGAGAAAAATTACTATGCCATGCAGTAACATTTCTTCATCGACCGAGCAAAACTTCGTTATCGACCAAATAAAAATTCATAGTCGTCGCAACAGTTACCATTGTTAAATTCAACTTCGGCAAGAATGGGAAACATTCGGCGTTCATCGCTAACCAATCATATTGGGTTAAAAAATGTTTGGAGAAAATGCTGTGTGGCACAGTAAAGATTAAAAAAGAGCACAATAAAAAATACCGATCTGGATAGGAATTTTTGAAGGATTTCTATCAATTTTTCTTTCAAAGTCAAACAAAAAATGATAGACCTTCAAATTTTATAGTGCTGTTTAGTAAATTTTATGGAGCCACACATGATTAATTGTGGAATGTATAAGAAAATTTGACATATGGATAGTAATTTTTATTTGTGAATCAAAGAAGTTCTAGTATTCTAGCATTTCGCACCACGATTGTAGTGCTCGGCACAATAATTTTTCTTGGACTTTTCTCTCCGTGTACCTGCCTCGAACGCTCCATTCCGAGAACAATGAAAATCCCACAAAATTCCTCCACTGGGGTACGGTGTTTGGAAATATTTAAAACTAACATCACCGTTTCCACACGTTATTGAAGTTCAATCGCACGGAGCATCATGAAAAAAAACACGGGTATATTCCTTTTTATAACAGACGAGAGAGGGGAATGCAAGAGCTGTTTTTTTACTTTCTCGTTATCAGAAAAAAACACTGTCAGTCACGAGTATTATCGCCGGTTTTTCCCAACTCCTCATTGACGGAAAGTGGCACTTGGCACAATTCATCAACAAAAATGGACTGATCGCGTAACTCCGCTCATGTTTTCAATGTTGGGTGATTACGAAATGAGGGGAGGTGGTAAAAGTATTTATCACAGAGCTTTTATGTAAACAGTATCGATGGGAAATCATATGGGAAGATACCTGACTTATAAATATCACTGGGTGGCTTGGATTACATTAAATAATGACGAGTCTAGCATCATAACCGCGATATTTCCTGTTATTTTTTTGAAGTAAAACTTCTTTACTTGCTTCATGGATTTTTGGTGATCGGAGTAAACCCTACTCAAGATCGTCACGAAAAAGCGTCATGACGAGGTGGGGTAACCGGACCCCGGGGGACCCCAGCACCTCTCACCGTTCACTGTCGCTCTCTCACCGAATAATAATCTCGCTTGAAATGCAGAGAAAAAAAGAGTAGTCGTGCGTAAGCTTCACACCCATGATTTTTCTGCAATCTGTCAGCCTGCTGTTTGTTATTCCATGAATGTTTCTGTCAAAACCTGCTCATTTCGTCAATGAATTTTTCCACTGATGCATGTACTGATTGAATCCTGCCATTCAAAGTACAGTGCCATCTTTCAACTTTGTTGTTCGTATATAGTGGGTCATTCATTACAGCTTCGTAGCAATTCCAGTAATCGATAGGAAATCATGGTGCTTGATGGCGTTGTTTTTTCAGCCGTATCAATCCAGGTCGAGTCCTGAGCGAACCGCAGCTGGAGTAACACTTCTGTATGCGCTCTTGCTATTCACCACCTAACCTAAAAATTTTTCGTCCCAGTTTATAGAATAGTGTACTACAGAAATGTTGACTACCATCTCCCTCCCAAAAATACTGATCACATTATTTTCCTCACAGCAAATAAAGATTTTTCACTTCCGCATATGACTCAACGCCTCACGTCGCGCTAACGCCGCTCTTACATAACCTACCCTAGATTCCCAATTCAGACTCATCCGAATAAAAACAGATCAGTTTAAAGAAGAAATGGATGTAAATAATGACTCCGATTCAGAAGAAGAGTCCAACGAAGTTCCACATATGAACCCCCTCTGCTCTTTAAACAGTATACAAATTTTGCTAATGGAAAATTAAGTCTCAGTTGCTACCCATCTGGAGTCAACCCTATACTAAAAGTCACAAGATGGAACCTCCGCCCCAGATCTCAACCATAACCCTCCTTTCTGCCTCAACTCCCAAGAATCCCCCTAACTGAAAGTTCAAAGACCTGAACCCCCCAACGACGTGTAGGAATCCAAAAGATTGATTACAAAATCCGCTTCATGTTCAATCACCAAGCAACAGCTAACTCAAAGTAGTAAATCACGACCTACTCCCTTATAACAAAATTGTCACTTACATCCTCCAATATAAAAAAGTCAGAGAAGGAATCATCAAAGTCAGAGGTGGATAACTTCAGCTTTCGGACTTACTCCAGCTCCTGACCTCCATTAGGCAACATTGTCCCAAGCTATAAAGTTTATGGCTGTACCCCCTTCGGGCGCGTGATGCCCTGCGTGAAGGCAAGAATAGTAGGAATATTCGGCAGAAACTTGGTGGTGGGAAAAGGGAAATAGAAACATTTTCTATTTCTCTAATGAAAATATTTCTTTAATTATTGTTTTTTTCTTGTTATGCTTTTGATTGGTTATGGGTTGCTTTCAATCGATTTTCTAATAAAAATTTCGTACCTTTCATACATTTCTTGAAGTGCAAATATTTTTGGAAAACAGTTATTAAATATTATCATATTGTTAATAGACCTGACTTGACATGCATTCTCAAACTTTTCATTTTCATATTTCCCGCTCTCGATCCCAACGTAAAATTCACAAATTTCTCACAAAGAACACAATTATTGGCGTGCTTTAATCTTCAATTGACGATGAAATATTTCTTTCTCAAGTTTACGAGCATCCCACTGTCATTTCCACGTATGAATCTTGAATATAAGCCATCATATTTCAATTCCATTTGTTTTATTAACAAGAAAATGTCCAAACACGTGCATAAAAATTTGAACCATTTTGCCTTCGCATTTCAATCACGCGCATGGACCATCACCGGATGTTATTACCACCACACAAATATACGACAACCTTTCTAATCACGTTAGGTCCTTTATAGTTGGAATCTTAATAATTTTATGGTTACCGCTCCGAGCTTACCTGAGGTTGCCCACCTCAGATCACAGGTGTCCCTCATGAGTGCTCCCTCAAGAAGTTATCGCAGAAATAGGATCATCATTACTAATGAGATTAGCCTTCAGGCTGAATCGATTTCACAAAAGTGATGGGATTCCCGGGGCATCCCCACACCACCCATTCTTCTAACCTTTGTAGGGCAAGAACTTCACAATCTGGTCAGCGTATGGCACACTTCCCTAACAGTCCACACCTACATATCACAAGTCAAAAGGTGTGGTAACTGTCTGAGATTCAGCCATTCCGGAAAGGAATACGAATCTCCCACAACACCTAACCACTGTGCAGAACAAAGCCTCGAACCTACGAACCCTTATCTAATCTCATACTTATCAGCCAGAAGCATACAAAACTTCCTCAAAATCAACAGCAGCAACAACCCAACACACCAACCTAACGACACGCGAGGAATCTCAAGCCTCTCTCCAAATCCAAATCTCTCTCCTTACACTCCCATTTTTCAATCCTCAAAAGACTACCCCAAACCAAGTTCTCCACTAACAGCAATATACACACCCTTAAATAACAAAGTCCTTCTGTCTACAGCTCGTTCTCCCCTAAAATTCTATCAAATCATCCCCCATCCTAGCCTTTCCGCCCCACCTGGCCCCTTTCTAATCCTGACCGAATCAGAAAGTCGCCCACCCCACCATCCAATCCACCAGAGGAATACTGGAAAATTACTGGAGAAAGTCCCTGGCAAATATCTAACATGAGAAATTCACCAGTCTAAATCAACTTCTCAACAGGGGCCCAAGACCCCCCCCCCCCCCTTCCCCATATTCTTAATCTAACTCTTCAATTCAAAACATGGAAAAAACCAGTACAGAATTAGAAAATGTTCTATGAAAATGAAAAAAAAAGTATCCAATTTCATGAAATTTCTTCCAGATAT